TGTCTTGCTGTCCAGCACATTTGCCTCTGAGGTTCCATGCATTGGATCGATTTGTTGATTGATTCCATTTACAGACCATTCAACTACATGGGGTCCTCAACTTACGATTACAATTGAGCCCCAACGTTTCCATTGCCAAATAAGACAATCGTTAGGTGAGTCCCCCCCCCCCCATTTGGTGACCTTTCTTGTCACAGTTGTTAAGTGGGTAACAATGGTTGTTAACTGAATCTGATTTCCCAATTGACTTTGCTTGTCAGAAAATCACAAAAGGGAATCCCATGACTTGGGACACCGCAACCATTACAAATACATGTCAGTGGCCAAGCATAATTGATCATTGGGATACTAATGGTCATAAGTGTAAAACAATGGTCATAAGTCACATTTTTCGGTGCTCTTGTAACTTCAAATGGTCATTCAATGAATAGTTGTGAGTAAGGAACCCTCAATAAATAATAGTCACAATAGTTACTCACAATAGTTGTGGGTAAAGAACCATCTGAGTGCCACAAGGTTCCATCTTAGGCCCAGTACTCTTCAATATCTTTATTAACGACATAGATGGGGGAAGTTACCAAATTTGTAGATGGTACTAAGCTGGCAGGAATAGCCAACACCCAAGAAGATAGGCTCAAGATCCAGATGGATCTTGACAGACTAGAACACTGGGCCATATCTAACAAAGTGAAATTCAATGTAGAGAAAAGTAAAGTCCTACACTTAGGCAAGAAAAACCAAAAGGACACATATAGACTGGGTGAAACCAGGCTGAATAGCAGTAACTGTGAGAGGGATCTTGGAGTCTTAATGGGCAACCAGGTAAATATAAGCCAGCAGTGTGCAGCAGCAGCCAAAAAAGCTAATGCAATCCTAAGTTGCATTAACAAGGGGATACAATCAAGGTCAAGTGAGGTACTAATACCACTTTATAAAGCCTTAGTAAGACCACGCCTAGAGTACTGCATCCAGTTTTGGTGGCCATACTATAAAAAAGATGTTGAGACTCTAGAAAGAGTGCAGAGAAGAGCAACCAGGATGATGAGGGGACTGGAAACTAAAACATATGAAGAACGGTTGAGGGAACTGGGCTTGGCTAGTCTAGTGAAGAGAACAACCAGGAGAGACAGGATAGCAGTCTTCCAATATTTGAGGGGCTGCCATAGAGAGGAAAGGGTCAATCTATTTTCTAAAGTGCCTGTAGGCCAAACAAGGAATAATGGAAGGAAACTGAAAAAGGAGAGATTCAACCTGGAAATAAGGAGAAACTTTTTGACAGAGAGAACCATCAACCAATGGAACAGCATGCCCTCAAAAGTTGTGGGAATGCCATCACTTGAAACTTTCAAGAAGAGATTGGACTGCCACTTGTCAGAAATGGTGTAGGGTCTCTGCTTGGGCAGAGGGTTGGACTAGATGACCTACAAGGTCCCTTCTAAATCTGTTAATCTGTTATCTGTACATAAAATTTGGGTGGATTACAACATTAAAAGCCAGGAATCAATAAAACAATAGCAATCACGATTATTTGGGTCCAAAGGAAAGGAGATATTTAATTCCTCAGTAGAGCCACACTATCTCTCCTCAAGGTCTGAGGGAGCCACCATCTTTTCAAGGTGTTTTTAAACATCATCAGAGGTGTAGGAGTCATGCAGTTCTCTTGTATAAATTAAAACAAAAGTTAATAGTATGATTGATGGATTAAAGTACATGTAAACACATACAATATATTATCACAAGCAGGATATTTCAGGATGTTGTCTTAACTGTCAGACAAGTGCTAAGTGGTATCAGTATTAAATCAAATAGAAATAAGAGACTATACTGTATGTAAGTTCCAGGGTAATGAACCGTAGTATAAAATTCCCCCAAAAAATCCTAGAAAAGAGCAATAGCAAACAAGTTGTATTGTGTTGTGGAATGTACACGAAATTTATTTCTTTACTTATTATTAAACAAATTACAATAACGGAGTTGATTCATTCATAGGTGACTTTGGACAGCTTACAATATAAAAAAAAAAATCAATTAGAAGAAACCATTAAAAACCCACGAACAAAATTAAGTTTGCTAGAAACTGAGCTCAGTTTGAAAGGCACTTTATGTCCCAGCTAAAATGAGAAAGATTCTCATAGCGCTTTCTCAAAAACAATAGCAACAACAATTGTACTTAAAGACAGATGCTAATGGAAGCTAAAGAATGCTCAGTGCTTTGAATAAAATTTGTTAGTTCAAAATGGTGCTACTAGGCTCTTGATTTGGGGCTACTGTAGACCAACATGTCTCTTCTGCAATGTCTACCTTTTTACCTGTATGCCAAGGTAAATTAAAAGGGATTTCACAGTGCTTCGGGTAAGCAAATGTCATAGTGGGAGACAGAACACAAAAGGGATTCTTCCAGGTTGATGTCAAATGAATATCTTATTGGGTATGGCTCATTGCTTCTGTTGGGTGGTTCAAAGATTCTCCCCATGTCTTAAGGCACAGGTGGGATTCAGCCGGTTTTCACCGGTTCGCCTGAACCGGATGTTAAATTTACCTCTGATTCACCAAATTGGTAGTTGAACTGACCGGCTTTGCCCCCACCCCCCCACCCCTCCCCGCACCCCAGGAATCTCCATGTGGCCTGTTTTGGATGCAGGTAGGTGCAGGGTCTGAGTGGAGGCTCTGGGAGGCGGAAAAATGGGCCTCCTGGAAGTCCCAGAAGTCTGGAGACGGACCTGTTTCCAGCTTCCAGAAATTCTCTGGAGCCTGAGGGAGGCCATTTTTGCCCTCCTGGAGGCCCAAGAGAAGCTTCCGGAGCCTCAGGAGGTGAAAAACAAGCCTTCTGAAAATTCCGGTAGGCCATACCCACCATGGCCATGCCCACCCAGTAATCAGGCAGAGAACTGGTTGCTGGGATTTTTGAATCCCACCCCATCTTAAGGTAGTGTGAGGGAAACTATAAATGCAGCATTATAGGAAGAAAGAAACAGGCTAATAATCCTTCTTGCGCATATGTGTGCTGACAAAGATCCACCAATGTACATTCCTTGCAGGAATTTCATTTCTATCACATAAGGTATGATACCAATGACAGTCAATTTGGTCTAGTGGTTACGGCACCAGGTTAGAAACCAGTGAGTAATTATACCTAACAACTGGTTTTAAAAATTACTTTTATAAGATTGATTTTAGATGGTTGTATTTTTTTTTTAATCATGTCTAAATCCATGTGAGAAAAGGTTGGATTACCAAGTAATATTTCTATATTAGCATCATGTTAGAAACCAGGAGACAATGAGTTCTAGTCCCACATTGGGCATGAACGTCAGCTGAGTGACTTTGGGTCAATTACCAGGAAACCATGAGTTTTAGTCCTGCCTTAGGAATGGAAGCCAGATGGGTGATTTTACGCTGATCACTCTTCCTCATGTTAAGGTTAAGGTTAAGGTTCAGGTTCAGGTTCAGTTTGTGTGGCCAGCATGACTGCATGCTGAGGCACACAGAGCGTTGTTACCTTCCCAGTGCAGTAATACTTATTTATCTACTCACACATTTGCATGCTTTCAAACTGCTAAATGGGCAGGAGATGGAGGAAGGAATGGGAGCTCAGCCTGTCGCATGACCTAGGATCTCGAACCCAGCCTTCACCTTTCCAGCTGACAAGCTCAACATCTTTAACCACCAAGTGATTGTATATGGATATAAATCGCAAACCACCCTTCTTTCTCTCTCTCAGAACACAACGGACATCATTTTATCAGAACATAATTCGGAATACAGTCCTTATTCTGCCTGGAATTCTATGGCAACAAAATCCCTGTTTTCTCCCATCAGGATCCCAACATTTTTATTTTTGTTTTAGAACGTCTGAAAATGTTCTTCAAATCCTTGCTAGGAAACCGGGGAAAGGGAAATATTTTCTGCAAAAGAGACAAGTTCCAGGTTTGGAGACGGCTCAGACGGTGCCCTGAGAACTGTCTGTGTTAACAGTTGTGATTTCCAACCTGTGCATAACAGAACAACTCTTTTCTAAATGATAGCAGGCAGTTCTTTCAATGATTAATAAAATGCCCCCTTTGGAACAGGGAACAATCAGAGGAAACATTACCATTCCAAAGCATCCATTCTGTTATCAGAGACAGGCACCAAAGCCTTGAAATGTCATGTTGAAAATAAGGAATGGTAAATGGTGCCGCACACAAAAATCTACTTTTCTGGCTTGCTTGATAGAATAGTAAGAAATTTAAATGGTGGGGAAGAGTGGGGGACATGTCTGAAGCTTTTCAGTCTGTATAACGGTGTCTGGAGATGATTTGATCTTCCTGGATGCTCAAATACCTCACAAGGATAAAATTTAGGCAGATCTATTTAATACATAATAATAACAAGCATAAGAACTGTCTGGTGTCCTTCAGAGGACTTGGATTACAGCTCCTATCAGGCACAGGCCATACAGCCAATAGTCAAAAATGATAATATCAGAAGGTCATGGATGTCATGCTGGGGTGGCATTCTACTGGTTCGGCCCAGTTTGGGTGAACTGGAGGCTCTGAAGATCAGCTGTTAGGTCCACCTGTTCACTCCGTCTGTTGAGACTCTAGAAAGAGTGCAGAGAAGAGCAACCAGGATGATGAGGGGACTGGAGGCTAAAACATACAATGAACAGTTGCAGGAACTGGGCTTGGCTAGTCTAGTAAAGAGAAGGACCAGGGGAGACATGATAGTGGTCTTCCAATATTTGAGGGGCTGCCCCAGAGAGGAGGAAGGGGTCAAGCTATTCTCCAAGGCACCCTTGAAGGCCAGACAAGGAATAATGGATGGAAACTGTTGAAGGAGGGATTCAACCTGGAAATAAGGAGGAATTTTCTGACAGTGGGAACAATCAACCCATGGAACAGAAGTTGCCTTCGGAAGTTGTGGGAGCTTCATCACTGGAGGCTTTCAAGAGACTGGGCTGCCACTTGTCAGAAATGGTGTAGGGTCTCCTGCTTGGGTGGGGGATTGGACTAGATGACCTACAAGGTCCCTTCCAACTCTGTTAATCTGTATATCACCCTTAGAGTTAGTCATGATCAGACGGGAGAAATATTTCCCTTTTCCTTATGTAATTCCCACAGCTCTTCAGTTTATAGCGAGATCACTGACAATGAAGGTATGTTTCAGAAAATTGCCACACTGGAAAGACTAATAGTTGCCCAATCTCTTTGTTAGGCTTTCTGTCAGCCTTGTAAAAACTGAAAGTGATTTTTTTTTTTCCCCAGCACAAAACTGACAGAGTTCTTTTTAACAAGATTTATGATTGATGGATTCCAGAGGAAAATGATGGCCCATAGACACAAATAATAATTAACTGCATTAACACCTCTTTAGTGGTTATTCTGAGTCTTGTTTTTTTTTTATCTCAGCTGCCAGCTATGTATTTATCTAAAGTCAATATCTTGAGATGGGTGAGTGAATAAATGGAATAAAATAAAAAAATAAACATATATAAATAATTGCACCGCAGATGAAATAAATTTGTTGATTCTGTACATCTGTTAACAGACTTTCTGCAGTGACAAATCATCTTTATAATAGAAAAGCTATATCACATTAAGGACCCCAGGTTTGGTGATAATGATTCTTTATGGCATGGTTATTATTATTACTATTTTATTTATTGGAATAGTTATTTCTCTATTATATAGTGGGCAATCAGTTGCCCTTTTGGACCTGCAAAATTGAGTGGAACAATTACTTGCTGCAATCTAGATCATCATAAATAAATGCTAATCTAGATTTCCATAAATAAATGTATAAACCTAAACTGAATAACTAACCCTGGTGATTTAATTTCAGATAGGCTGACACCCAGCTTAGCTCTTCTTTTCTGTTCCAAGTGAATGGACCAAAAGAAACTGAATCACGTGAGTTAAATTAAATTAAAGTGAAAACTGTTTCAAATCACCCGTAAGCTTTCGTATGCAACTAACCAGTAACAGAATAACAGAGTTGGAAGGGACCTTGGAGGTCTTTTAGTCCAGTGGTCACCAACCAGTGGGCTGGGGACCACTGGTGGTCCATGAGAAAATTTTGGTGGTCCGCAGAGAAAGGTCACCCCCAAAGCAATTAATCCAGGCTGTGTGGGAACACAAGACTGCACTGCCCACATGGCCTGCGGGAACACAAGGCTTGTGTCACTTGCATTGCAAACAACACAAGGTAGTGAGGGGAGGGGGGGAGGGCGGAGGGGGGGGGAACTTTCCCCACGTGCTTCATGCGCTTTGCCTGGCCACAGGGCTGCTTCTTTCTGCTTCTTTCTTCTTCTGCTTTTGCTGCACGCAAGGAAAGCAGCAAAAGTCTTTCTTTCTCTCTCCCAAACTACACCAGAATGAGTCTTTGGGACCCTGCAAGGCCTCCTGCTCCAAGAGGCTGCGCCAGCAAAGACTCTTTTCTGGTAGAGTTTGGGGGAGGGAAAGAAAGAATTTTGCTGCTTCTGCTGCTTTCCTTGCATGAAGCCAAAAGTCTCTCTCTCTCTCTCTCTCTCTCTCTCTCTCTCTCTCTCTCTCCCTCCCTCCCTCCCTCCCTCTCTCTCTCTCTCTCTCCCCTGCCCCGAGAATGGAGCTGGAAATGGTATCCTGAAATCCCAAATAAAGAATGATCTATCGGTAGGAAAACGAGGTGGAGAATTTTCCTGCAGACTTTTTTAAAAATTTTCCCAGGGTCTCTAGTCCTCGGGGTTTAAAATTACGAGTTTGGTGGCCCTGAGGTCCAAAAGATTGGCGACCCCTGTTCTAGTCCACCACCCCCTGTTCAAACAGGAAGCCCTATACCATTTTGGATAAGTGGCTGTCCAGTCTCTTCTTTAAAAACCTCCAGTGATGGAGCATCTACAACTACTGAAGGCAAGCCATTCCACTAGTAATTTGATCCCACGGTCGGGAAAATTCTCCTTAATTCTTGGTGGCTTATCTCCTTGATTAGTTTCCATCCATTAATATTTTTTTTAACCATCCTCTTCATTGAAGTCTATAGTCTGCCTTCCTACAAATCATTCTTTTGTATGTGTATGTTTATAACAATTGTATTAATTGATGATATAACATAAAACAATAGAAAAGCAAAAAGAAGGAGAGATAGGGAAAGGGAAAAGAAAACTAAGGAAGAGAAAACGGGGGAAAGAAAGAAAAGCTATTGACTTCCAACTCCCTTTGGTGCAGTAGAATAAAGTAATAACATCAAACCACAACTTTTTAGTTTTACATAGTAGTTTAAGCTAACCATTTCTGCAGGGTACCCTTTTTTTGAACTATTATCATCTGGCAGACATTAGAGGACAATAAAAACAAGGACAAATAAGCTGAAAAACAGCTTCTATCCCAGAGCAGTAACTATATTGAATTCTACTGTATAATACAATATTAATGCAATATTAGGGGTTTTCAATTCAATTGTATAGAATGTCAACAATGTGTGTTTTATTTTTTATATATATAATGTACACTGAAGATGGCATTTAATTTCATTGTACGAGGTGCAACGACAATAAAGTAAACTAATCTAAACATCATAGCTATCTAATTGGTAAAGCCCAAAATCAAAGTTTCCTCTTTTTTTTTCTGCCTCAAGCACAAAATCTAGAAGTGGTTTCCAGGTAGAAATGAAGGTATTTGTATTTTTTTTTCTTTGATCAAAGCAGTCAATTTAAGTAATCTCTGTAACTCCATCAACTTTTGCAGCCATTCATTCATTGTTAGCCAGGGATAATATAAGGGATAATCTGGATGCAGAGAAACTGATACCTTACCTCTTTAGCAAAGATACTCTTTATGAACACAACAAGTCTTCTTTATGAACATCATGAATACATGAAAGGACTATAGGTAGTCCTCAATTTACGACTGTTCATTCAGTGACTGTCCAAAGTTGCAATGGCACTGGAAAAAGTGACTTTTGACTGTTATTCACACTGATGAATAATGTTGCAGCATCTCCATGATTGTATTATCAAAATTCAGATTCTGGACAGCTGTGTTGTGGCCAACCAGCGGCCAGCAGAGCTGGTGGCAGACTTGGACAGTGAGGAGGTTGGGGAGAAACATGGCCAGTCCTGGAGTCTGGGGAAGGCTCTGATGAGCGCTCTGTGTTGGAGGTAGATATGGGGCCAGGGTCTTCCAACAGTTATTAGCTGCCTATGGAGTTGGAGTTCAGTGGGGAAGAAGAACAGCTGGAGCCTGTTCCCAATGTGTGCATGCGCAGAGCTGCCAGGAGAAGGGAACAGTTAAGGGACAAGGGTCAACTCGGGAGTAAAGGCACAGGTGGACAGTGAATGGCCTCTCCCATAGGGAATAAAGAGGAGTGAAAGGGGAGTGGTGTTTGCAGGAGACAATTAGTTCATTTAATTAGTGTGAAGATTTGTTCATGACTCTCAGAGACTCCTTGCCAATTATTTGCTTGTACAGCGTTGTACTTGGAAGCTATTGGCCTGGCAGCTCTCCAAGTCTGATAAGGTACGTGGTTGTAATTCACCCTTGAAAGACTGTTTGCCAGGACTTTGCTGGATGTGAATGATAGGAATTCACATTAGCCTAATAAAAAGGGGCTTTGTCAGGACAAGGAATCTGCTTTGTGATTTAGCGAAGCCTAGGTCAGAATAAACTGATCTATATTTGGGGTGGTTGCAGTGTCCCAGGATCATGGGATCTCCTATTCTGATCTTCTGTCAAGCAAAGTCAATGGGAAAACTACAGTCTCAACCTCATTTTTTATATCGTGATGATCAAAACTGGATGCAGTATTCCAAGTGTTGTCTTACCAAGGCTTTGTAAAGTGCTACTAGAACGTCACGTGATCTTGATTCTATCCCCCTATTGATGCAGACTAGGACTGCACCTAATATCCCTCTTCCCTATTTTTGTCCTCTCATGAACACCCATGATTCTGGGGTGGAATAATTGGCAGAAACACCAAGGCTCTTTTCATTCGACATAAAGATGGTAAATACCAACAGAGCATTAATCCAGGCACCATCTGTGCAAACCAGTTGAATATCCGTGAGCTGCCGAGTTGCCTGGCCAACAAAGCAGAACCAGCACCAGGCAAATATAATTCTGGAGGCTTTTTTAAAAAAAATATTTTACCTCCTAACAAAGTTTACAAAAGCAGAGAACAAAAGATAAAGGTAATAAAAGAAAATTTTCTGAACTGGATGCGGCCACTGGGTGTGAATTCAATAGGGAAGGATAACTCGGGACCTCATTTGATGAAAAGTCAATGCTTGTAATCTGATTACTCGCCCATCACAGATTTAATTTTATCTCCCATTTCGAAAATTTTAATTTGGTGGTCCTTGGGCCATCTATTGCACCTAGTGGGCGAACCTCTGCTCCATACTGTCATTCAACAGCCATTCAAGAGCCGTGGTGGCTCAGTGGTTAGAATGCAGGATTGCAGACTAATTCTGCAAACTGTCAGCAGTTTGATTGTCATCGGCTCAAGGTTGACTCAGCCCTCCATCCTTCTAAGGTCAGTAAAATGAGGACCCAGATTGCTGGCGGCAAGATCCTGACTGTCTAAACCACTTAGAAAGGGCTGGAAAGCACTGTAAAATGGGATATAAGTCAAAGTACTAGAGTCTGTCTGTCTATCTATCTATCTATCTATCATCTATCTACCTACTTACCATTGGGGTTCACCACTAATATGAGCCATGGTGGTGCAGTGGTTAGAGTGCAATAGTGCAGGCTACTTCTGCTGATTACCAGCTGACTGCAATTTGGCAGATCGAATCACACCAGGTTCAAGGTTGACTCCGCCTTCCATCCTTTTCTGACTTAGGCTTTCCAAGATCATGAAGCAGACTCCTCATCCCATTAAAACTCCTTTTATTTAGTTTATAGTGAATTCCTCTCCAGCAAAGTCCCAGAAAACACTCTTTCATGAGATCTCACAACTACAGACCTTTATCAGGCTTGGAGAGTTGCCAGGCCGATATCTTCCAAATGCCACTCTGTATCAGACAATACTTGGCCAGGAGTCAGGCACAGA